TAAAGATGCAATTCTAATCTTATTCAGACACCAGAAGGGACAAGAAAAAAAAGTCGCTTATGTGCTGAATATTCCTCTTTTGTTCTTCGCTAACTTTGAGAAGCTAGGAAACAGCACCCACATAGAATAGATGTGGGTTTAATGCATTACAGGGAATTCTTGTAGGCGGGCTATGTCTGCTGTCCTTATTTAGAACCAGTAATGATCCCGTATGTGTGAAATGAAAAGCTGTAGCCTACGATGCTAACTTAAGAGCAGTTGGTCCTCTCTTAGAATTATTGATAATAAAGTTTATTGTATAACCTTCTAAAACTTGTTACCAGGGAAAGTCAAGATATAAATATTGTAGGTCATTCATATCTTTCTTGAGGGATACTAACACGTTTTTTTCTTAAAAAATAGCTTTTTTAATTTTACAAATGATGCAGAACTCATAGCTCTTGAGTTGTAAATATGTTTTAATAAACACAGCCAGCTTTAAAAGAACAAAAGATAAAAGATGGATAAAGATTATGGAGCTTCAACATATATGAAAGATAATAGTGGGAGTCCAATTTGGCTGAAATTGGATACTACCTCCCCAACCACTTTTCCTCCCCCTCTTATTTTCCCTGATGCTCAGTCCCATCCCTTAGTAGCCCACCGGTGGGACCTCTGAGAACACTGATGGGATCCCTCTCCCTTCACCTTTTACTATAATTACGCAGTAATGGCCCGGCACTAGTGCATTTGTTACAAGCAGTCTCATCACAGTGTTGTTAGTGTGTGTGTGTGTGTGTGTGTGTGTGTGTGTGTGTGTGTGTGTGTGTGTGTGTGTGTGTGTGTGTGTGTGTGTGTGTGTGTGTGTGTGTGTGTGTGTGTGTTAGCGATGTTGCCCAGATCAAACATGTTGCCCAAGGCCTCCATTCCGACGGCAGCCAAGCATTCAGTGTCACAAAAGGTAAATCGCCCTGCCGCAACACATGACCTTTACAAAAATGATGGTAATATGAAAAAAAATGTACACAAGCAGTACGGCAGCAGCAGCAGCAGCAGCAGCAGCAGGTAAAGCAGAGGAGGCGGAGTCACACACAACTACCTGCTGTCTCCTCCTCTCCTGCTCTAGGAGGAGAGGTAAACAAGACTATTCTAACCTTTATGATGATAGCATACGTGTTTAGTTTGGATGTTTGCTCATGCACATTTAAAAACATGATACTTATCAGCCAGCCTGTTGACACAGCCTACTCCTACACACACACTGTGTGTTGCTCGATTGCTGTAAGGCACACCTTGGATAATTGTTTAGGCCACAACCATCCCCAAATTCATTATTCAGTGTTACTCGGACAGCAGAGTGATGAGTTGTGTTGAAAGACACGAGACTGGGCTTGTTTTTACGGTGTTGGATTAGATATGTGCAAATACAGTGAATGACTGCCGTGACTTATCAGCTGTCGCTGCGTATTTATCTCCTAAACTGTTGTGTTGAGCCTCGGAGAACTATCAACACATACCAGACAATTGTATCCCCTTTGTATGATTGTTTGTTTTCCCAGTATCATTGTTTTGAAGTCAAAAATAGAACAAAACATGTCTCCTTCTCAACATGCAAAGAAACAAAAGGAATTGGCAAGACAAAACGTTTTGATCCTATTTTTAGAAGTGAACTTGATCAAAAGATTTTTGTGTGAGGATTTGTTATTAGAGGTTTTCCTTCCCAGTCATCTGAAATAGATGCCGACGTGTTCTCCTTTGTACTCCACTGTAGCCTCTCTGTATCTGTAGCATGCCATCAGCACAGGACAAGGGAGACTGAGTTAGAACAAGGTGAGATCAAGCCTTTGGGCTGATTGGATAAGACTGAAGGAACTAAACACTCATAGACACATAGACACGGATGGCTGCTCTTCTTCTTGGAGAGCTTCAAGCGCTAGCAGAACATTTATTCTACAGTTTAGACCCTGACAATCTAAAAAGCAGAGTTTAACAAAAATACATCTGAGGAAGTCAAGAACCATTTTTTGTTGTATAGGGTATTTGTTTTTTGCTTATTGAGGTTATAGTTTCTTTCTGCTCAGATTTGACCTCTATTTGACTTTGACCTCGGGAACATGATGAGCAAATAATAATAAAGCTTTATTTATATAGCACATTTCATACAACACATGCAGCTCAAAGTGCTTTACAAAATGACACATCACAAGTTCAAAACAAACAAGACATTCCCCTCAGATTATTTGTTAAGAACTTTAAAGGTACAGGCAGCAAAATGTAACATGTTATCAGGTTAATAGACACAAGGAGGTAAAATGTATGATAATAAAATAAATAAATAATGGTTTCTCTCTGACAGATAAGACACAAGACAACTGAGTCGATGCAACACTATATAAATAGCAGGGAGTTCCAACACGCCCTGTGATGCTGCAGTAAACAGCTCATAACAATCATATTGTATTAGTTTAGGGTGTGTTTGGTGGCTCACAGCTCTGTCAGTGGTTCAATGGACTGTCCTGTCCAGTTGTTATTATGGGCAGTGTGTCTCTCAGCTGAGCCCCCCCCCCCCCCCATAGAAAAGTGATGCTGCTCAAACCAAAGCTATGAGGGGGAGGGGAAAGTTGGAGAGCCGGGAGAGTTCAGCCTAGTTTTACAGCTTCAGCGCTCACTTCCCAGCGCTTAGACAGTGATCGATGGGCTTAGACATGCTCTGTAGGACAGGCGGTGGGTGGGTAAGCTCATTTTGTTGTGTCCTCCTCCCCCATGATCTACTTCGCCGGGGAAGTTTGTTCGAATTTGAAAGAGTTCATGAGAGAGAAAGAGAGTGATAGAGGGAGTAGAGGCTGCGATGCCAGTTGAAGAGCTTGGCAGAAAGTGTGACAAAAGGAAACATTATTTAACCCTCTTATTCAAAGACCAAGCTGGAAATTAATTTGTTCCCAAATTAGGCTGCAACTACATTTCCCGTGGAAACTAAGCATGCTATTTTTAGAGTGATAAGGCCTCCTAAATGATTTGTCTTTGCTCCGCGGTGGAGAGCTGTGGCTGTCCTGGGTTAATACGCTGGCCGCAGTTGAAGGATGCCAGGAATAACCCAGCAGGGTCACACTGACCTCTTGAAAACTGGGCAGCGCTCCAGGTCTCAATTAAGTGATGCTCTCTCCTTCCAGAAAAGGCAATAATATTTAAATGGGGTTTGCAAGAGTTATAGCTGTGCATGGTGTAATGGCACTGAACCAAAGAGCTTTACAGACCCGATGGGGGGAATGCAGTTTGTTTCTTTTGAGGCGTAAGATGACTGTACTGTGCATTTATGAAATAAGGAAGTTCACACTCAGATAGAATCACTTAGAAGGAAGCTTAAAGACTTTATTTGAAATATTTTCTCCCACATCCTTTAGCGGTACAAACTGCAACATTAATAACAACCTCCCATAGTGAGAAATGACCTCGTATATCTGCACAGCTCATCAGATAGGGCTGTAGTGGTAGGATATATATATATATATATATATATATATATATATATATAAATAAATAAATAAATAGCACTACATCAGCTANCATAGTGAGAAATGACCTCGTATATCTGCACAGCTCATCAGATAGGGCTGTAGTGGTAGGATATATATATATATATATATATATATATATACACACTGCCTCCAGCTTTTATCAGTGTATCGTTCTCACAGAAAATAAAAATGAAAAAGTCATATACCACATGGAGCTCTTCAGCTACACAGGAGATAAGATCACAATCTGCACTTCCTGGGTAAAAAAGAGAAAACATATGTTGCTGCCTTTTTCCTTTTTACCTCTGTTGACTTCTCAGAGGATAAATAAACATTTTAGAAGTGTGTACAAATGTCACAGATATCCATATTAGTGTGACAGAGAGCCAGTGTGCGCAGTACAAGGACATTGAAACCTAAACAGCGAATTCAGCCATCATTCATTGTATCCCTGAAATAGCTTATAAGAAAATGATGTATGTATATATCTGAAGAAGATTAGAAATACCTCATTTGAAAAGCACAGGAGAGATGCAATGAAATCCATGTTTTGCTCTGTGTTTATGCATCTGTCTGCTTTGAGGGGGTGTGGGGCAGCTAGCCTTGCAGCAGTGTCTGTGTTGATGGAGAGAGGGGGCCTGCAGGATCCTGTGTGTCAGCAGCCTGCATGTGAGAGACATTGCCTGGCGGAAGTGCATCGCTGGCAGATGTCCAAAACCCCCCTTTACTCCCCCTCTCCCTTCCTGGTCTATCTTCCTCTTTTGTCTCTGAGCACCGAGAACACTGAGGCCCTTTAAGACAGTTACTGGGAAAACATATGGAGGCCACTGTCCTTCCTTTATGCTGTTTCCAGTTGACAAACGCAACAGTGGTTTTGTTTTTGTGAAATCAACATGTTACTTTTGTTGGTTTTGCTCTTGCATAATTGTGGGTATTGTTGGACTGCTGCTGCCTTTCATCTGGTTGTGACAAGGAGTGTTTATTTACAGTCTTAGAGGCAACTTCAGTCACACGGTCACACGCAGCTATGTGTCAGTGTTGATTGGAGCAACGCACTGTCATTCACCACTTCTGGAAGAGGGCGGGGCCTGAAGTTTCATAATGAAGTTGTCATGGAGGAGATCTGCTTCTGTCTTAGCTCACAGAGGGATCTCAGCACAGGAAATGCGTTGGGAGGGAGTAAACACCTGCTGCCTCCCCCCGCAGCCTCCAACATACACACACTCCAACCACACACAACCACATGCGTGCTAAAGCACAGCATCCTCCTCAAGTAGGCAGACTTTAGTTTCCCTACTTGATAAACAGTTAACATCACAACCCAGTTCAGCGGTTGAGTGCGTTGCCACGGTAACATTCTGCATCACATAGAGTAGGGAATTAAACAGAACTATTGTTCAGTATTTTAAATGCAGATTAAAGTATAATTCTCCATCAACACATATGATTTTGCTTTTCTGGCTCACAGGGTCAGTCTTGTACTTACATTTTATTCCCATTTCCCAGGCATGGAAGAAACGCTGGTTCATACTCCGCAGCGGCCGCATGAGTGGTGACCCTGATGTTCTCGAGTACTACAAGAACGACCACTCCAAGAAACCCATCAGGGTAATCGACCTGCACTGCTGCGAGCAGGTTGACGCCGGCCTGACCTTTAAGAGGAAGGAGTTCCAGGACAGCTTCGTGTTTGACATCAAGACCTCAGACCGCACTTTTTATCTCGTAGCTGAGACTGAGGAGGAGATGAACAAGTGGGTCCGTTCCATCTGCCAGCTGTGTGGGTTCAACCAGTCAGACGACAACCACGGTAGGAAAGCCTGACCTGTGCTTGCTGCTCTATCCACCTGCCACTGATTTCATTTAACTCTCCACCATCTCCCTGTTTAAAACACAATGAAACCTAACAAGTCAATTCATTAAGATTTTTTTAATTTTTAGGAATCTTTGTGTCGTGTTGGCTTATTGATCTGCTTTTGTGTTTACTGCTGTTACTGTATGTCAATTCTACATTTCAGACAATTTAGTTTGTAAAGTAAAAAATCTGCTTCCAATATGATAATAAGTAGTACTAAAAGGACAAGTTCATTAAATTATTCTTTGTCCAACAGTAAATAAGGGGCACAATTGATAATCAATTAGTTACACAAGTCATACAGTATAGAAAAATCCTTGCTGGCTATGTTTACCATTATAAATGATTATCTTTTCATTAAATGTGTTATTCAAGTTTTGTAAAATGTAAAAATCAATAGACGAAAAAATAAACCTTACATTCGTAGACAGAAATCAATTGCATATCAATTTGTAGAATGATTACAAAGTACAATAGTATGATAGAATTTATGAAAAAACACACCTTTACTGAATCAATATAATGTGTTTTGGCGTTTAAGGCATGCAAGTACAAAACAAAATCTAATAACTCCTTCCTTCTCTAAGTCTCCTATTGTGCTTTTTTTTGGTGTTATTTGGAACAGCTTGTGTCTTAGTTTTCACAAAATGTGCAGCAGAGGTCCAGCCACATGATATCATTGGCAATTGTTTTTTTTTTTCCATCTTTGTTATTTGAGAGAGTGGAATGGGAACATCCCTGCCAAATAAATGGACACAGTGCCGGAGAGTGTTATTGATTTTTCTCTTCATTTGTTATGTTAAGGAAAGGGTCCGCTCTCTGCCTCTTGTTTCCAGGATGGTGGGAATTCTTATTCTTGATTTTGGCCATTATAAAACTTAGTGGCAGATACAGAGGGGACAGTTTTGCCACAGCTTCTCTTTTAAATATTTTGCGCTTGAGAGAGGCTTGTTTTCCTCTTGGATTGCTAATGATAAAAAAAAAGGAGCTTGTTGAATTAAAGTGCCAAATAGAAAACTCATGCAAATGACAACATGTTTATGCAGTAATGTTCTTATGTAAAACAGATTCAGTCTGGGAGCAATTCTGTGATCCTTAAATTGGTCTTAATTGTCTGAATCACACTTTGCTATTATCTCTTGCCATTTGAAAGGAAATAAATGATAGTAATGCAAACGCCTCTCCCTCTAAGCAGCAGTAAGTGAGGTCTTTACCCAGTGTGGGTGAACCCAATGTTTTCAGATGTCAGACTCATTTTCTGGGTGGATTGATCAAAGACCTGCTATAATAGTGAGCTGAATGTGTTGTGTTAGTTATTGTTACTTTAGCTCATGGCATCTGAGGTGCGCTTGGAGCGTCGATGCACCTTTAGATCATACATTACCACAAATATTCAGTAGAACCACAATGATTAGTCGATCAACAGAAACATATTTAACCCTTTTTAAAGGGGCTCAATTATGTTCTTTGGGGTTTTCCCTTTCCTGGAGTGTTTTATATAGGCTATTGTCTATCCATGTAATGGTCTGCAAAGGCTAAACTCCCAATGTTTCTCCCCCACTGCCTTTGAAATGCATCCATTCGACCTCATTTGTTTACTTCCGTAACATAATGACATCACCATGTAACACTCAAGCTGCTATTGGCTAGCGCTCCAACAAATTGTACGTGATAAGCGAAGGGTTGGGACATCTCTAAGCGGTTGACCAGTCACAACAAAGCCGGCCAGCTGACCAATCAGAGCAGACTGGGCTCTGGTTTCAGATGGAGGGTAAAAAAAGCTATGCAGTACACGCAGTATGAGAAAAATAAAGACCTTTTTGAACATTAAAGCATGTAAACATGTCACAGTAAAGGCATAAAATACAACTATAAACCTGAACATTTGCATAAAAAGGCCCCTTTAATCTTAAGTATTTTGCAGAACTTTTAGGAAATAGTTTTCAGCCTCTCTAATATGCAGTTGTCCTGCTATTTTCAGGTTATTCATATTAAGCTGACTTTCTTGGGTCTTGGGTATTTAAAGACCCCTCTTTTGACAATTGTATAGACCAAACTATGAACCGAGAAACAAATAAGCAGATTAATCAATAATGAAAAACATAATTAGTTGCACCCCATATATTCAGGACAGTGTGTGTTATGTGTTTGTAAAATATACTCTCCTCATATTCTTGTCCATCCAGATTGAGCTCATGATGTTGTTTTCCCACCATCTGGCAGCTGGTGGACGTTAATCTTGGTGCACATGGTTGATCATCTGCAACATGCAATATGTCCAGGTGTTAAATAAAAACAGCTGTCTTATTTTTCTCACATCAGGAGGGAATCCCCCTGCTCCAAGTTCAACAACTAGCGAGGTCGTGTTATGAATCTCAAACTGTATAAGCTGTAGCCAGCGGGTGTGGCTGGGAGAATGGGTGGGGGGACTGAGAGGGTTTATGTCATCACAGCTGCATTAGTGACACCATTTTTTGATCTAGAAACTTCACTTAAATTTGTTTTGGAGAAATCCCTATCTAAATGTATTTTGCTTCCAAATTCATACTATATTTTAATATGGGTGCATCATAACAGGAAGTTAGTATTTGTTATTACCCCTTTGTGCTATCTTATTTTATGAAAAACCACTTGCAGCTTATTCCTCGCAAAATCATGATTCCTAGCATTATTTATGCCAAAGGGGTAAAAACGGACTGCTTTTGATAAGCATTCAAAACCAAAACTAATACCTTCTTCAAATGTTTCAATGCTCTAGAAAGGCATGACAATCTTATGCTACTAATACGTATAAGCTGCAACTTCATTTATTTAGATGCTTAAGTAGTAGTAGTAGTTTTGAATGTGTGCAGCTGAATAGTGAACCAAACAAGTGGAAATATAGATGTTATTTTCTCACGTATTTGTTCCCCAAGGGCATTGTTGCTTGATTTACCACTGGTTCTCTATTGCGTCATTACTGAAGTCTAAATTATGTGAAAAAGCAAGGACTTTATTTAGAGACAGCCATGAATTTGAGTTGGTTAATAAAACCATTCGAGCTGACCCACTGCTGATCTGAAACAAGCTGATTGTGTTTGTTCACTGGTGCTCACACACATGGCTTCTTCTTGCTGGTGTTTGCTTGTTTCTGCTTTCCATCTTAAACAAACTACATGCACATTTTAAGATTGTTCCACTCAACACGTTCCACCTTCTATGGAAAAGCATTTTTGCATGACAGGCATTTAAGGCAGTGTCTTTCCGAGGAATAAGTTGTTGACTGTTATGCAATTCCATGCAGCTCTCCCTCCAAAGACCGTAACTCTTGCCTCACTTTTCACACAAGTGGAATAATACAAAGCTGAAATAACCTATTGTATAATAATTCAAAAATTACCTTTCATTATTACAAGAGCAAGATATTTTTGTCTTAGAGCCAAAAACCTCAAATTAGCCTAGAATGGATCACCAATGTGTACAATACATAACATCCTCTAGCTGTTGTGACTAGGATAGATTCTCAGGGAACCAACTGAAATAATTCAATGGTAACTTAATACAAAATGTTAGATTGTTGCACAGTTGTAAATACTATAGAGTATATTCTTCCGTTTATTTCATTGCTGAAAAGCCTGATATATTAGTTATTTTGTTTTCTAAGGATCAACTCATCAAGTCACCAGCCAAGCATTAAGCGTTATTTTACTGTGTTGAACAAAGCAGTTTACATTTTTGAGAGGGACAAAACGTACTGCAGTCACATGGAAACAAATTCAATTGCTGAGAACACAAACATTTGTTCAGTCAGAAAATGCTTTATGCCAATATAACCTGAAGAAACTACCAGACCTGTGAATAATAATGTGTATTGAGGCTGACATTGATTTCACTGAGCATCTGTGTGACTGTAAGATAGAGAAATAAGGGTGTGTGTGAGGAGGCAACTCCCTGCGTGAATCAGTATTCCTAACACAACATCTCTGATCTTGCTCTTTGAGCCATAGTACTGGTGGAGCAGAGCCACAGTTTCACAGCAGCAACACATTAACTGTAACACACTGAGCCTTTATCAGTTGATACAGAATCCTATACTTGTGGGTTAAGTGATTTTAGTTTGATGAAGTGACTCAGACACTTGCATTGTATTCAGAGCAAACAGAGGATAACTGTTCACAAAGATCTTTGAGAAGGTAAATATAATTTTGTTTTCTGGCAGACATCTGCAGATCTGTGCCAGTGTGTCACCTAACAGACTGGGAATTCCCTTTCAGGAAGAAAACAAACCATGTTCTGAAAAACATGATAAGTTACTTCCTCTTATGGAAAGTACACTAGCAGACTGAGACAAACAGAAGACGACACACAAATGGCAAGTTAGGCAGATACAATGTTAGTTTTCATAAAAAGCCAGACAGACTAGACCAGACTACTGGGTGTCTGGAATTCATATTGATTTTATTACGCAGTTTTACATACTCTACACTGTGTCATATTTGTTTTTCTAATACATCTGCAGTGTCAATGGGAAGCCTAAAATGACAGTGAATGGGATCAACCAGGCTTGGCTAGACAATAGTGACTCTTAGAGAGGAGTGTTTGTGTTCCTCAGATGGTTTTGTTGAGACTCTGCCTGCATTAGTTATATCAGCACCTTAATCTGAACCTACCTTTTGTCAGTCTGTCTTTGAGGAAGGTTGGCCAAGTACATGACAGCAGCTCATTGTTACACAACCGAGCAAGGGCAACGTTCCCTTTTTATATAATACAACTTTTATATTGTATTATATCTGATGAGGTTTCACAATGCCCCACACATTGTCACACTCAGTGACCATTTGTCTTTTTACATCATTACAGCTACTTAGATTTTTCTGGTGGCCATGACAATCATTTGGTTTTAGGTTTGTCCTTCTACAGTTAAAAGGTACAACTGAGAAACAGCAGCTTGTTTTGGTCTTCTGTCACTCCAGATAATCCCAGAACAAACGG